TTGGGAGCTTCAGGGGGTTATAACCGGCATGGGTCTCACTGGAGGGAGCACACGCCCGTATATGACGACGGGGATATAGAGCTCTTCCTGGATGATTTCCTAGGGTATGCGCAACACATGGGGTGGACGGTGGCACAGAGGATAGAGAGGTTGAGGGGAGTTGGCAGGTTTGAGGAGCCCATCGCACGAATTCGCAGAGAGGCGAGGACTTGGTCAGTGGTAGAGATGAGGATGTAGGAGCTGAGACCCTCACCCGTGGGGGCTAGGCGGCGTGCCGATCCGCCTAGAGATTGAGAATGCGGAGGAGTTCATCCCTGCTTTTGAGCAGTTCATGCACGAGCAAGATATATTGAGGGATGAGTGGGCGCGAACTCTACCTCTATGGGTCAGGAAGGCGGAGAGACCGTTGGCCCGACAGATCAGGGACATGGCTCGAGACTCGGAGAGTTGCAGAGCACACCTGAGGAAGGTCTTTCGACGACCAGAGCAACCTCAGCCAAGGGTTGAGAGGCGACAGAGGAGCAAGAGGCAGAGGGATCCTGAGCCCAGAGAGGCCATGCCATCACGAGGGGGACGGAAGGCACTCGCGAGGTGGGAGGAGGAGTTAGTACCTGAGGCTGAGGAGCGAGGAGCATATCCTGAGTGTGGGTTATGCCCGGTGGTTTTTTAGCGTTTTACTGAAAAGGGATTGAGAGGATCCCCTCAACGCGCGTGAGAGGAGGTGCCGCCATCCAAAGGATCAATGCAGGCGTTGGAGGCACACATGGATGTGTGACAGTGGAGGGTGCCTCAGACCGACGAGAAGCGGGATGAACCAGCAGTAGGGGTACCACGAGAGGAGCTTTATGAGCCAGTGTCAAAGGCGGTACGAGGTGCTCAGGGAAGACAAGTGATAGAGGAGGTGATAGACGTTGGAGAAGATACTCCCCCTCGGACGTCAGCTCCAGAGTCCAGGCCGGGGGCAGTGCTAGAGACTACCAGAGAGGCAGGGGAGGAGCTCCAGCAGGGAGAGGTTCCACCACCTCCCCCAGGTACGACTCTTTCACCAGGGGTGAGGGTAGAGATGGAGCGAGAGAGGACTGGCTGGAGGAAAGAGGCCGTTTCCACGATCAATAGATATCTGGCGGCGCATGCCTATGAGCACCCTGACATTGAGAGGGGTATGCCTATGGAGCCACCACAAGAGCCTCACCAAGCAGAGAGAGAGGTGTGAGCTGAGATTCCAGAGGGAGAGGACAATCGCACGAGAGGGAGAGCACCGACCGGAGAGACAACAGAAGAGAGACGGGCTAGGGTCGGGAAGTGTGTGGAGGAGATTTGGGAGGAGAGGCAGAGGTTAGAGGAGACAGTGGCACTCCTAGATCAGCCACCGAACACGCCCCAAAACCATGTGGAATGAAGGAGATGTGGGATGAGTTTTGGGGCCAGTATGGCAAGGAGTTGGCGGCTCCAGAGAGAGCAGTACTAGGGACGTTGAGGTCAGCAAATGAATACCTGGACCATAAGATCCGCTTCCTGACCAAGATTTCTTTCAATAGGTATTTGATGTTGGAAGATGATCTGGCTGGAAAAAAGACAAAGGAAGTGAGTCATGGGGTGCGCTTGGAGGCAATTGAGGCAGAGCTCAAGGAGCTCAGGGCATGGACGACTAACCAGGCCACTACCATCCAGGAGATGAGACAACAACTCCAGGATATGGCAGCGAGGGTGGAGAGAGAGGGGCCTCCCAAAGTAGTAGACTGGACGAAGAGTGGTCGATACGGCATTCAGAGGGAATCAGGGCAGAGCCTATTTAGGCACCCATCCACGACTGGACATTCCCAAGGACCGCCCATGGGGAAGGTTATCCTGGAGCTAGAGAAGGCAAAGGCAAAGAGGGAGGCAGAGAGAGAGGCCTTTGAGTTTCGGGCACCTACTGAACTCACCACTTTGCCGACGATATCTATGGGGCCCACGACAGCAGTTATGCCAGCACCAGTTGAGGGAGGACAGCAGACAACTAGCGGCCAACTGATTTTGGGTTCAACAGAGGGGTCTATGGGTGTGCTCCTGGAGGCAGTTGGCACTATGTAGGAGGGGGTGAGCACACCCGTGTCCGAGCAGAGGATGGAGGTTCCTCGTGAGGAGGTGCCAACACGTGGGGTAGAGGAAGTGTCTGAGGGTCGACCGCAAAGACTGGATACTTATGAATACGTCCCAGAACTGAGCGAGCTGAGGAGCAGATTGGGATCCCTGGGTCACTGGATCAGGTTCTGGGGGCCAGGCCTTTGGGGCAGAGCAGCAGAAGGTTGTCAGTGAAATAACGGGATCTCCCTCATCACCTCCACCACCCCCAAGGGGAAAGAAGTGCAGAAGGAAGGTTGATCAACTATGTTTCTTCTGCAAGGATGGTGTGCACCAGGCTCTTGAGTGTCCTACGTTCCTCAAGGACAAAGCGACAGGGAAAATCGTTGAGAGTGGAAGGAGAATGTACGATAGACAAGGCAGAACGGTGGAGAGATTTGCGGATGGGGGTAGAGCTCAGTTGTACAAGCAGAACCAGGCGGAGATAAGTGCGTAGGGATTGGTTCGCCTATGTACTAATGTCATTATGGCAAGGTGAGATTGAGTTGAGTTTGCATTTTGGGTAAGATATTTGTCTTTATCTTTGTTTTTGTTTTTTGTCCTATTAGAAGCTTGGGTACCTATGCTGTAATTTTTTCATATAGGGGATTACAGCGTATGGTTGCCCTTGAGGTTCTCTGTTGTAGCATGAGGATCGGGATTCAGTGATGTGACATATGTATACTGAGGTTATTTTTCCTCTGACTCTTGAGAGTCAGATTCAGTTCTCGTTTCAGGAATGTTTTTGACAATGTGACTAGCCTTGTACCATATTGAGGGTGATTTCCTTTGATCCGAGTGAGTTACGGGTATGGACTATTATTTGTGTTTTTTTATGAGATATCTCATCCCTGATTATATTTTGAGTTGAGGTTTGCCTATGAGATATCTCATCCCTGATTATATTTTGAGTTGAGGTTTGCCTAAGACTATTTCCCTGTATATGACGATCACAATCGCTCTCATATGTATGGATTTATCCTGATGTATGATGGTTTTTGTGTGAGAGATGTATAAGAGACATCTCGTGTGCCATATGTTTTGCAGATATGAGTGAATGTGAACTGCCTACTCTTCGGTAAACTCGTGCGATCTGCCCACGGGCAGGTGATAAGGTCGGGTATAAGGAGAGGGAGTGCAGTCTGTTTTTGTGAAATGTGTGAGAATCCTAAAGGAATTTATGGTTCTTGGAGACCAGAATGCTTATTATGCCGAATGTTTGTTGTTGAGTAGAGATGAGGACTCATAAGTTGGTCTCTTAGTTTGAGTTGTTTTATATTTGAGACATCTTCAAGTGGGAAGCTAGTCTTATGCTTATTTGGATACTCATATTTCAAAGAGGGAAGATGTTTTAAGAAAAGGTCGCTTGAGAGTTCATCCTAAAGAGAGAAGGGATGGTTGGGGGTCCCAATAAGTGAGACCTCCTTCGGATGAAAGGTGATTTTTTTTTTTTTTTTTTTTTTTTTTTGAGAAAACAACCTGAGTGAATGTTAGGGATGCTAATAAGACAAAACACCACTAACATGCTCGGGGAGGCTCCATCTATTGGTGGGGAGCAACACCTGCTGGAAATCGGGTCCAGCGTCCCTCAACATTTATAATCGGGTAATCTGTAAGTAACCCGAAATCATGTTAACATGTCACGTTGTCGAGCGCATCGACCCCCTCGCGAGCGAGGGCCCTCCCGACCATGTCACGCAGGAGTTTAAACAAAACATAACCAAAGAGAGACAACTCGGAAACGACGCTACACATCCCACGAGTCGTTGAGACGGGCGTGGTCACGTCGTCCCTTCGCCACTCTAGCCGGGTGCGCCAACTGTACATCTCACGGTCCCCTACGACAAGATAGGTTCCCGTGGGGCATAAACTTCCCTTTCCTAAGGGGTTGTCACCACCCTTAGGGGCGTATCCCTACCGAGCTACTGGCCCACGTTCGAAAGTTTTTAGATGCAATTGCAGAGGTAGGTCAGCCGAGGGCGTTTGCTCGTTTGCCGTAGTATAGATACGCTTGGTTAACACCAAGTGGACCTGAACGCCGTTCGTTCCTAGGGGGCTGATCTCCTAAGTACGAAGCGAACGTCGGTCGACTAGGATGGTCTCAACCAAGCGTGAAACCCTCAACTTAATCCTAGTCCCTTAGACATGAAGTTAAAGGAAAGTTAAAAAAACATCCACAGACAGTTATATCAAAAGAAATCGACCGTAGTCGACAGGAACATACTCAATCTGAAATGATAACTGAAAAAAATCAATCATTATATAATATATCCAATCACACAAGATAAAGAAAAAAACAATCTGACCATCCCAGGTCGAACTCCACAAAACAATCATACAACCGCAAAGGAGGGGTTGGTTTTTCGACAATAACATAGATGTCGCCGACAAGGTAATCGGCTGCCTTAGTTTTGACTTGATGAGACGCGTTGCCAAAGTCAATCATTCCACCTACCGTCGACTCAAAATTCGATAGCTCACACCTGTCTCCATACTTTCTCAATCTTATTGGATGACAGGCTACTTGACAAGGGGCATTGCTTGAAGTGTTGCATGCCTCTCCCTTTAGGAAGTGGTCTAGGGTACTCCTCCTCCTCGCTCGAGCACAAAACTCGGAACGCAGAAGTCAGGTCGTCTCCACCGAATCGATAAAGTACCCCCCCGTAGAACGGTCCACTCTGGGTCGATAACAGGGTCGGCTCCTGAAGCAACGAACCCCCGCCCCAAATGGTTCCTGGAGAGAGAACATACTTCCATTACCAGTAACTTTCAATTGTTCCCATTTTTCCTAAGTTCAGGGTAACTTAAGCAAAAGGAAATCAAAAGGGATAAAGAATGAGAATCATTTGGACAGGTATAGGAAGATAAGGTCACTCGGAATAGAGGCCGTCAATCCTCGGGAAAAGTTAAATTCATTATGCTTTGATTCTCTTTCTGTTTTCAAAATGATTTTTCTCACGGCAGTCATCGATTATCCTTCAGAAATAGCAAGCAAGTTCACCCAACTCACTAACGAATGGAAAATGGTAAGGAGGAGAAAATTCTCCGTCATTTTATCAAATAGTATTTTGTCCCACTTTTATACATAGTCTTTTTACTCACCTGCACACCACGCAAACAACACAATCAAAAGAAGACAAGCAAAGTCTCACTACTTACGTCAGACCCACCTTTTCACTCATGCATGACGCCCACACCCCCACTCAACCTTTGGTCCTGAACATTCAAAGCAAAAAGGGTCAAACAATGTGTGGGTGCACATAGGTGTGAAGGGAATCTGGGTCGAGCACTGACCTTGAGTAAAGTGGCCTAAAAGAAGCGCCCTGACTCACTCAAGAAAGCCAACCAACAAGCCGTGTGTGTCGCGGAAAGCTGTAGTCTCAAGGAAAATCCTGATCAAACCATCTCTCACTCGCACGCCTCATCCTCGGTAACCCAAGCCTGAAAACGGCGAGCCGTACGGGTCCCAAAAAAAATACTCAATATGGTACCACGTCAGTCCCAACTGGTCCCAGGCAGTCCCAGATGGTCCCACGCGGTTCCAGGTGGTCTCATGCTGTCAAACACTTCGTCGAATGACTATTGAGTCGAAAACCATTTCTGCCACACTTCTAAAAAAAAAAAAAAAAACGGTGCCGAATTTTAAAACCGCATGCGTGAAGACTGCCGCAAATGACTGCCCGCGTCCCACGTTAGTCCCGACTGAATCCAGGCAGTCCCAAGTAGTCCAATCCCACTATCGCGAGTGTTGGGTAGTCCCAACTACAAAACATTTATCTCATGTGCCACATAAAAAAACACAACCGCCTGTCGCGCTCAGATTTCGTACCGTTGCATGTCGTCAACCGCCACCATGTCACGCTGCTGTTGCCGTAGACACCAATGGTAGCAGACCTTCACCAAGAAAAGCATACGCCGCGCCGCAAGAAAAAACCTTTCAGTGCAGTAAAAATAACTCCACTGTCGCGTCGCACATCCCACCGTCGTGCCGCAATTCCACTGCCGTGTCAATCTCTCGGTCGAAAATGGCTGCACGTCGTTGCGCCGTGCCCCGTAAAAAAACGAAAACGGCAGCGCTCCGCCGTTCCGTACCACCGTAAAAAGACGGCGGTGCTTCGCCGTGCCGTACCACCGTAAAAAAAACGGCAGCCCTTCGCCGTGTCGTACCACCGCAAAAAGACGGCGACGCTTCAATGTGTCATACCATCGTAAAAAAGACGGCAGCGCTTCGTCATGCCGTACCACCGCAAAAAAAAAGGCGGCGCTTCGCTGTGTCGTACCACCATAAAAAAAAACGGTTGCGCTTCGCCGTGTAGTACCACCGCAAAAAGACGGTGGCGCTTCGCTATGTCGTACCACCGTAAAAAGACGGCAGCGCTTCTTCGTGCTGTACCACTGTAAAAGACGGCAGCGCCACTCTTCAAAACAACGTGCCGTCGGCGTGGCATGAAAACGGTAGCGTCACCCCTCAAAATAAAGGTGCAGCGCTGACGCCGTGGTATTTCGGTGGCATAACCCCAGAAAATGGGTTATGGTTGCCGAAAATATCAGTCGGCACACCTCCACCAGTTGTCGTGCTCCCCATCGCTCCTTGTCACGCTCCGCTGCCGTTCTTCACCATGCTGCCGCAGAGTCCCCCTTGAGACCAGCCGACCAAGGGGTGGAGCAGAGTGTTCTAGCCAAGGCTATGGTTGTCTCCTCATTTGTCACGCTCCTCCACAGTCCTCCAGCTCTTCCGACAGCACTCCCACCTCCTCTCCAGCACTCCAGCGATGAGGCAAGTGTGTTGTCGCACACTGGCAGCTGGAGGCAAGTGTGAGGCAGTTGGTGAACAACTGCCTGTTTTGTATTGGTTGAGGAGGGCAGCAACAGCCTCAGCTGCCCCCAGGCAAAATTCGTCACTTGCCTGGGGCCGTTAATCTGAGCCAGATCAACGGACTGAGGCTGTGTCTCCTCAGCCACACACTTAGGGTGGCAGTTGTACTCAACTACCCCCCTCTTTTTCCCCCTTTTCCTTGCACTCAGCCTTACACTGAGTGCAGGTTCAGCGGGAAAATGGTTGTTTCCAACCAAGTTCCCCTTACTGACCCTGCAGTTAACAGCTCTGGCCTGAATGACTGCATTCAGGCAAATAGTGTTTGAACTTGGTGCACGGTCGCGACCACGTTCGCGACCTCGACTGCTCCTTTCTCTCCCCTCTCTACTTTTCCTCTCTTCTCCCCTGCCCTCCCCTAAAAACGGGGATGGAAGTTGTCAGATTGGGAAAGGTAGGGAAATAACTCGTGAAAATGCACCCCCCCCCATCACTACCATTTGCACGCCGTCCAGGGGCCTTGACTCACCCAGAGGGTCTTTTGGGATGCTAACATGTTGTTCCCCTTTCTTCCCAACTGTTTCCTCGAGGGCCTCCGGGCCCTATGCCACAATCTTCCACCTCTCGAGCGTATCCCTCCGCCTCGGGGCCCAAATTGTTTTGCATTTCAATACCCTTCGGGGCCACAGTCGCCTCCCCTGCCCCCCCATCCATCTCTACCATCGTCGCGTCGTCCGGGGGCCCTGACTCCCCCAGGGGATCTTTTGAGACCCAGACACGTTTCCCCCCTTTCTTCCCAACAGTTTTCCAACCCGTATCCTCTTCAGAGACCCTCAGCGAGGGACGCTCCTTATGTAGTTTATCCTCCACTGGTGTCGGGGGGATCCATGTGTCTGGGGGGCGTGTTTCCAAAACCGGTTCTCCCATCCTTTCCCACATCCAACCAATCAGGATACCATCCTTCGAGTGCTCTTCAACGTAAACCCATCCTTCATTACCTGACTCTACCGTCCTCCAGCGTGTACCCTTAATGGGATCCCTCAACAATCTTTCGGTTGGCCTGACTCTCCTCTGGGGGTGCAGGGGACAAGGGTATTCGGTGCACAGATGACCGTAAGGACGACATTTATAGCACCATGGCCTGATCTTGTGCGCTTTGTGGATCAAGTATTCCCGTCCTCCCACCCTATACGGGATCACGTCGTCTAACGAAAAGGGTTGGCCTTGGGGGAAGTCCAAGGCCAACATCAGGTCATCATCCCGCTTGGCGACATTAGATGGGAGAGGGTCGATGAACGAGACAATGTCATACACTTGGGCAAAGTCGTGCACAAAGGCCGTTTGGATTTCTACTGGGATATGACGAAATTCGACCCAGTGGAAATCTTGCATCAGCTGCATCCTTCTCTCCTCCGGCCCTAGGCGTCGTTGTGGTGTCCATGGGTGAATATGAACTTCCGAACGGTTACAATGCAGGCGTTTCCAGTTGTCTATGATTTGTTTATCCGTCTCATACATGCACAAAACCGTGAATAACGTGTTGGAGACAGGTTGGTTGAGGAACTGATCACGGGCTAGATCAGCGCCATTTTTCAAGAGCTCCAGACGCCGGCCAATCCATTTCACTTTATCATTCACCGATTTGAACGCCGGGTTGTCATGAAACACCTAGTTATTCGCGTGTTTAGCATATAATGCATCTCTAATAGATTTAATGGCATGAAAAACTTAATTGAATAATAGCGTCTGGCAAGAAGGACCAAGTTCTGTTTGGCCATTGGTGAAATTTTGGAGGTCGCAAGCATGATTTATTTTGGGAGATGTCATTGAGATGTGTGACTGCCCTGCTCGGATCAAGCCGGGAGGTCACGAACTTGTGAATCTGGCGATGATTTTGTTTTGTGAAAGTAGAGAGGCTGCCGTGGCCGATGTGTTGTCCCACAGAGGGCTGGTAAATGCCTTTTATGTGTGACAGACCTTTGCGTAGTCCCGCAGTAGGCCTGCATTGTTGCGATACACTGTCCAACCACTTGTGTTAATCTTAGGGCATTTATGAGAATATCAAGCTAACGGTAAAGTTTAGCATCATTAGGGCACAACCCCTAGTGTTAGCTGTTGATCGACGTAACCTGAACAGCGGGTCTGCGTCTTGCCAAAGGAGTAAAGACTTAAAGGGTGTGACTGCCTAGGAGGGTTTTACTCCTGCGAGACGGCGTGGGATAAGAGTCAAGTCGATTGAGTCTTTTTGAGTCCTGATTGAATGCTTATCAAAAGAAAGTCTATCGTGGCGCAACTTGTGAGGGCACTATCGCTAAAATAACAGTGCGGTGGGTCGTAGATCTGGCTCGATCACCCAGACTATGGTGGGCCAAGATGGAGACCTTACCTTTCTGTACTAGACTGCAGAAAGGGTCTAAGGTAAGATTTACATTTATGTATATGTTTGATTGTGAGAATTATTGGAGGGAGGCAAGAATGCCTTCAAAGGTCTCGGTTAGGATCTGTGTCCCCAGTTACGGCCCTATTTATAGGGTAGAGACTAGGGACATCTAAAGAGAAGCCAACGTTTATCTAGGGCAAAATGGAGAGGACAGTTGAGAAGGTAATTGGAACTTGTGTTGTAGTATAGTTTCAGTATCCCGGCATCCTAATGTCAAGACAATGGAGACCCAGGTTAGAATCCTGGCAGCATACAGTTGGGTTGACATGGATTGTTGGAGGCCTCAAACCTGAGCCTATCGGATGATCGGATTGGTTCCTTTCATATCAGCATTTGGAGTTTTGGATGGACTTGTAGTTTTCTGATTTTGTGAAGCGATGGGGACGTCGCTTAATATGGTCCGGTAAGTTGTCGGTGCGAATATGCTGACAAGGGTATCCGCCCTGGTTTTTGCAAGCGACAGAAGATAAGTTTGGTTAAGAGTTTAAGTATACCGCGCGAGGCGAGGCTGCGTCTATGGTTTATATTGACTAAAGGTTGACCAGGGTAGAGAGTGTGTGGGCGCGTAGACTTAAGGCGCGCGAGATCTGTTTCCCCTTTGATGATTGTGAAAGTTGGCACCAATTACCGGCCGGATTTTTGGTTTTGATTAGTCTAGGAGTAAAAAGATTTTTGTCTCCTAATTGGTGTGTTTACCAATGGCTTGTGCGTACATGCGGTGGGCGAGGCACTAGAACCGCGGTGGTCAACATGCAAGTGAGCCGGTGTGTGACTTAGTCGTACTACGATGGGAGGGAAACCCCGGGGCATGGGTCCCCGATAGCAGCACCGCCCGTCCGTTGTGATCGGTTGCGAGAGGTTTGAGTGTGAGCATGCCCACTTGACCCCCCCCCCCCCAAATATCGGACTTCATAGCTTTATTTTGAATGTTTGCTACTACTGACAAAACCTACACCAAGACCC